AAACACATTTCATTGCAATGTTGACCCTGTGCTAACTTGCATATGACAAATAAAACTTGAAACTTGAAACAATAGATAATTAGTCTCCAAAAGCTAATCAAGATTAGCTAATTAGTCTCCAAAGGTTGATTCTGTTCATCTGGACGTAGCTTTTTAAGTGGGGGAAATGTTTTGATCACTGGTTGTTGATCAATGGTTGTTGATCAATGGTCATGAGAATTTGCATAATTATGATGAAGGAACTGACCTCCCAGCCCATTGTTCCTTCAGTGGTGCTAGTTTCAGTCATTATGCAAATGTACTGTTTATAAGATTGGGGAAACCTGCAGTCAGCTGAGACTGAAGAAGTCACTTGGATGAGTGACAAAACGTTACTCCCACTTAAAACGCTACGTCCAGATAAACAGAATCAACTTTTGGAGATTTACGTACCTGGATGATTGAGCATGCATCAAGACATTAGCTAATTAGCTTCCAGTTTATCATTAGCTCTTATGTAGCCAAACTTTGTCATCAGACTGTGCATACCCAACCTTTCTTTAAAGTTTGTATATACATGGCTATGTGCCATGTCACTTACACACTGCTAAAGTAAAGTTAGCAGCGTGTCTTCTGACCTCAAATGTTAGTTTGCCATGGGCAGTGTTGGGGACGTTACTCAAATAAAGTAATGTATTTCACATTACTCATCATCTTTCTTTAAAAGTAATTCAGCTGGAGGAATTAATTTCTACACTACTTGTTACATTACTTTTTTGTTATTTCATAAAATGACCCAAAATACATTATACATAATTACCAGTTAACCAATTGGGCTGTATGTTCAAACATACCAAAACAAATGACTGCCCTAAAGAGGACACGCAGTTTTTTTTAGTTTTTTCCTATGAAACAAAGCGGACATCAACGGCAAGATGAAAACTAGCCCAAGAGACTTTAAAGTGCTGAGACTTTAAAATGAACACCACAGTGATTCTACTTTAGAAACATGAACAGGCAAAAACAGATTGTTACCTGTTAAAGACACGATGTGCCTGTATGAGGATGCTCTCTGTGCAGGTGCTTGCAACGAGCTGATATAATGTGGTTGTTTATATCCAGAATGCAGTTTGCACAATATGAAATGCAATAAAAATAAAATAACGTTTCTCCTTTTATGAAAAATGGGCCTACGAATTCAAATAAACATTGTAGCCTACACCTTCTCACTAGAAAAGTGAAGTGAATTAAAATTGTAGTTTAATTTTAATACACAAGAAATCCCCAGGTTAATACTTCAGTCAAGTCAGGCTAAACCCATCCCTTTCTCCAGTTCTCCTTCCTTTGATCTCTGATTGGCCGAGGGGTGTTTGGTTGCTGTTGACATGTCTAAAGGCGAAACACTCTACCCTCAGCTCTGCTTTCTGACACCTGAGTATTGCCATGTCAGCAGCAGCTTTGCCAGCCAGTGAGCGATGTCAGAGATCACCGGGAGGGAGCCAGAGGGAAGGGTGCAGAATAATCCAAAGCCAGGGTCAAAGGCAGTGCTGTGAAAGCAGTGGTGCAGCACGCGGAGCCCCTAAAGATCTGAGGCAGTGTCTGGGCTCAATAAAAAGCTGTGCTTCATTTCCAAATCCTCGTGTTTTGGACCCTGTGTGGCTGTCTGAGTACTGTCAACACTCACCCCTTAGCTAGCTGGCTTGGATACGGGCCACATACCCTTAATCCTCCCCTAACTTGCCCCACATCCTCCAAAACATATGGTCCGAAACTGATAGACGATTAAGTGGGAGAAAAGCAATGATAAAAAGCATGAAGCAGCTGTGAGGAACATGCTTATTAACAGCAGGACACACGCAGAGTGTAAGTGCCGTTAGTGCTATAGGCGTTTCGGTTTGAGTTCATTCTCAAAAAATAATAATGGTATAAATATATTACTAAAGCATCTGAATGTACCAATGCAAGGCTCTGTGTGTATTGTGGTGATGTTTTCAGGATTGTTGTGTGGGAATGTTGTTGATTGGGCTTGTGTGCATTCTTCTAGATCAGGAGCTGTTCTCAGGCATGTACATTGACTTCATGGGGACAGATGCTGCCATCTTCAGGAGCCTAACCAAGAGAAATGCAGTGCGGACAGATCAGCACAACTCTAAGTGGCTTAGTGGTGAGCACATGTCAGAGCTTCTATGTACTGTATGAATTCACACAAATAAGATCTAGAATGCCTCTTACCTTTTTTACTGTTTCACTCAGAGCCCATTTTCATCGACGCCCACCTCATACCAGATGGAACAGACCCCAATGACTCCAAATTGTATTTTTTCTTCCGCGAGAGGCTAACAGATAACAGTGGGAATACTAAGAATATCCACACCATGGTGGCCAGAGTGTGTCCGGTAAGTCCCTTTTGCTTTCGCCAAAATAAACCAGCACAGTTTCTTTTGTGATTTTGCGTTGCTATGTGCGGCTTTTGTCGGCAGAATGATATTGGCGGACAGCGCAGCCTGGTCAATAAATGGACGACCTTTCTTAAAGCCAGGATGGTTTGTTCAGTTGTGGAGGAGGATGGCACGGAAACCCACTTTGATGAACTTGGTGAGTTAAACAGGAGAACATACTTGCAGCAATGCACCCTGTTATTATCAATGTATTACTTTTGACACATCATTTCCATGCTCGGGGTCTTCATGGTCTGCGGACCAAGTTTAAACTAATTTTACTGTTTGAAAAATATAATGCCGAGAACCAAAGAGATTGCTAATTTCCAAAAGCTTGCTATTTATGTTCCAAGGTTTCAAACAGATTGCTTTCTCCATAAACAATCCCGGGAACGTCCCATGTTTGGTCTGGATACGAATTTCAGCCCTTTGTCCAGTTTCAAAACAATTGCTCTGTTGCTTTTGGTTACCTGGTATTCAACTATAAGCACATCCAGGACTTTCTTAGCCTTAGCCTCAAATTTCAAACATCAGCACATAGCATTTGAGACCCAGACTCCATCTGTCAACATGTACATTTATCAGGCATTCATCTCTCGTTGGCCTTTTTATCTGTAGGATGATGTGAAATAAGATTTGGGGAATTTGCTGAAGGTATTAAACTGGAAGGTGTGTGCTTTTCTCTTTGTGTGTTTTCTCTTATAGAAAGTGTGTTTTTGCTGGAAACGGATCTGCCCAAGGGCCTGTTGGTGTTTGGCGTGTTCACTTCCACAAGGTAAGGCCGATGAAGCCAACTGTAACATTCCTGTAGGCCTCAGAGGTATGGTAATCATTCAGGGGATATCAGCAGATGGGGATGTGCTTGTCAAAGGGCCACTTACATATATATATCACGTGTCATGTGGCAGAACAGCTTATTCAGATGCTGAACTATCAATTACAGTGTCCTGGTGGTTTGGCCATATGGTATTCCTTGATTTTCTTTCCTCAAGATCCTCTGCAGCATTGTGCCATGTTGCAGACCAAGTGCGAGGGATACATTTATAGCACATGTTAATGTTAGAATTCATATGACATGATGTTGTTGGATGTCTTCCATAAGCATACTCTATAGGATTGTTGAGTGCACAAAGAATTTAGTTATTGCATTTTTTAAATAGCTGAAACCCAGCCATGTTTTTTAGCAACTAGATAAACACACATTATAAAAAAAAATCTGAGAAAAATATTGGAAGACAATAGCCTGATATCACAGAGTATTTTTATAATATCAGAAATTTAAGAAATAACAACATAAAACAACATAAAAATGTTTAGATATTTATTTATTTTTGAAATCCTGGAAAAAAAAAAAAATTTTGTTTCATTTCATAGCCACAGTATGGTATATATGTCTAACATTTCAGCATTCAGGGTAGCACAGTGGTGCACTAAGCACTATTGCCTCACAGCAAGAAGATCTTGAGTTCATTTGTCCAATGTGGAGGTTATATGTATGTTTTACACTGTCAGCACCTCTGTGACCTTAAAATAGATGAGCAGAAGAGGATGGATGGATGGATGGATTAAAATTCATTTGAAGCTAATTATGTAATTTTTAATGAAATACAAAGTTAAAGACCGTTTCAAATATGTACAAGGAGTTCAGGAGTGTAGAATCATTAGGTTTGTGTTTAAGTTGTTAAAATGGGCCCAAAAAGAACTAAAAAAAAAAGACAAAAAGAAATAAAATACACTGCAGGAAGGAAGAAAGTTGACCAACAAAAGTCAACGAAGGCAAAAACTGTGAAAATAAATTATAGAAACCAAAACAATGAACACATACATGGCCCAGGGGACCTCAGTAAGTGAAAGAGAGGAAAAGACATGGATGACATAATAGGAAAGAAAATACTAAAAAACACAAAGAAAGAGGATTAAGGAAAAAATCCATGAGCTTCTGTGGTAACTGAAAAAAAATGTTCTCAACAAACTGATTACTGAAACTGCTCGCCTCCCGCAGAAAGCACAGCCAGCAGGGCAACAAGGCAAATTTGGAAGTTTGAAAAAGTGATCACTCGATACTTCTGGTCAGATCTTTAATTGGGTCTGTTTGTTTAACCAAGCGTGACACTCCGACAACCCTCGATCCACTTGTTACCTCAGGATTGTAGAAAGCCTGCAGTAGTGTCTCCTGGCTCAAAAAAAAAACAGCCAAACTAAACACTGAGGTCCTCGAGGTCTCTGAGCTCGGTGTTATTCCTGCTTTCTTCCTCCCTCTCTCCACTTTGCACAATACGCTTCTGTTCAACTTTTCAACAAAGCCTCTTTTATGTGTTAAGCAGTGTGGTTTTAAATGGCTGAGCCAAACCACATCAGACCGTCGAGGAGGAAATAGGTGAGCTGTTGTCAGCGGAGCGTGACAGCAAGTTCACCCAGGCTCAACTCAGAAAATGAGACCTTAATAAACAACCTCAGAATATTTCATCTGGGAGGGTCTTGAGATGGTGAATACTGGTTCCTGTTGCAGTGTCTCACTCAGGTTGTGCATGTCGTTTCAGTTCCGTGTTTAAAGGCTCAGCAGTGTGCGTGTACAACATGGCGGACATTCTCACAGTCTTCAACGGGCCCTTCGCTCATAGAGAAGGGCCCAACTTTCAGTGGATTGCATTCCAGGGGCGCATCCCCTACCCAAGGCCTGGAACTGTAAGTTACATTTAGGCCACACAGTCATTTTTTATTGCTTTTTTATGATATGATAAGATAACCGATAATTAATAACATATGAGCATATGATCTACATATTGAAAAAGTGAACTCATCTCTAAGATTTCTAGAGATCGCCTCTAGAGAAGTATGAAATCTTTTGCTCATATTGTTTTATATTCTAAATAACATATCCAAACAATTTAAAGCCATTAAACAATAAGTAATGTATTTTCTCTGCAGCAGGACTTGCAATACTATTTTCTGTTTATTTAAATTTCATTAATTGATTAAAAAAAACAGAACTTGTGGAAATGAATGAATGAGATTTTGTTTTTGCACTGTTCAAACCCGCCCTATGTTTCTGCAGTGTCCTGGTGGAGCCTTCACACCTGACATTCAGACAACAAAGGAGTTCCCAGATGATGTGGTGACCTTTGTCCGCAACCATCCTGTAATGTTTAACGCCATCTATCCGGTGGGGAGGAGACCCCTGGTGGTTCGTACGAATGCTGATTATAAATACACGGCAGTGGCTGTGGACCAGGTCATGGCCGCTGACGGCAACTACCAGGTGCTCTTCCTTGGCACAGGTACGCCTTTTGCAGTTCAGACACAGAAACACTTTAAATATGGTTTTTGTACACATGTGACAAAAACAATATGACTGCATTCTACAGGCCTCAGCTTTCTTGTATTAGTTCTGGTATTTAAAAAATATCTTAGACAGGTGTCTCATGCAGAATATTTCCGATAGATGTAATTTTGTATTGAAATACGATAGAATAATCCTTTATTGTTATTGTTCGTGCAACAAAAAACAAATATTTCGTAGCTCTTCAGCTGTTTTGACAGCAAAAGACAAAAAGAGACTATACTATAAAGATAAAAGAGCTAAAGGTCAACAGAGCTTTAGGGAGGGAAGAGGGGCTTACTGGTTACTGCCAGTGGGGAAAACTGTTTTTTTTTATTTGTTAGTTTTGGACCTGATTGAGCTTAATCTTTTCCCCAGAGGCTGATGTCTGGGGTGGGTGTGGTCCATTATAATACAACTAGCTTTCTTTTACAGTCAGCTGTTGTAAACACAACCAAATTCAATTTCAATTCAATTCAATTTTATTTATATAGCGCCAAATCACAACAAATGTCGCCCAAAGGAAGGTTTACATTAGACGATAATATACTCTGCTGCCCTCACCACTTGTTTCAGATCTTTCCTGTTTCCTGCTGTGCAATAGCAGGTCAGAAGGTTCTCTACTGCTGACCAGTAGAAGTTCAGGTCAGTAGGTGATGAGGGAGGTGAGTGTGCTTTAACTTCCTTAAGAAGTTAAGCCCCTCTCTGGCTTTTTCCACCTGATGAGAAGATGCACGAGGTCCAAGGTCAACAAAGCCCTGATAGTACAGGCATAATAGTCCAGGTAATACAGGATGGGTGTTGGCCTCTTAAAGAGCAGTGGGATGCATTTCCTTTGTTTCTTCACACAAAAAAATATAAAAACGAACCAGCCAGACTACCAGCATCTCAATATTTTAATTTTACTACCTCATTTAAATATATTTAATAGAAGTTAGATCAATGTTTGCGCTGAAAAGACACTGTGTATAAAATAAATACAAACTGGATTCCATATAAGACCTACATCATGGCATCAGCACATTCAAATATAGCCATCGTCTTTGCAGTACACAGAGGCTGATAGTGACATTTTCTTTCTGAACAGGTTATTGCTTGGAAACTCAATGACACAGCTGGTTATCAGATACACAGATAAGCTGGAGTACTTGTGTTGTTGCCACTCAGCTCAAACAGGTCAACATGGCGCTGCATGCAGTATAATTCAGTGCACAGATAGATCAGAGCAAAAGATAAAGTCCATTAAGAGTAGATTTTTTTCCATTACATAAGGAAGAAGGACCTATAATGGATTGCCACTTTTTTAGAAAGTCACTACCTAAGGTTAAATGAGGGACACTATTGTAAGACATCACTTAAATGTCAAGTCATTGAAAATGCTAGAATGACTTGCACTTGCAGAAATAATTTTTACGAACAAATTATGCTATAAAAAAAAAGGCCTGACAGAAAAAAATGTCATGCTAAAAGTTGCATGTGATCATTGAGATAAAGCAGCGTACATGTGATTGTTTTCTCATCAGCCTAAATGTATGAACAACACTTTTCTCATTTTCAACCCATTCACCCACATGATAACAGTATTATCATGGTGGTGCTACCGTTTTATGGTGCTGCGTGAGTACAAAAGGCTGAGAAAGTGGTGGGCTGATATTTACAGACGACAACATGAATGCCATAAGCAGATATACCAAAATACTGGCTGACAAGATGACACCCTGTCTCCAGAAACCTGTCATGTATCAGAAATATTCCAATGATCCAAAGCTCACTGACAAAGTAAAAAAGTGAAAATGCCAGACCCATTAAATCGTTACATCTGCATCATAAGTGCAAAACCTTCTGAAACCCTACACTGCAGCCTATACCATAACCTAACACCATGACCTGACGTGCACATCCCTAGATATTACACAATATGTGAAACATAAATTTTGGTAACAATATCAGTCACTTACATTAGCTGCATAGTAGGCTCTACATAGTTTTGCTGCAGAAGTATAACTTAAGCATTCGAAGTGATGCAGTTCCAAAAAGGTTCTACAGTTCTGATTTAGTTGACAGGCAATATTGTGCAACAGCTTGCTGTGTAGTGAATATTTGTCGAATATATGCCAGTGTGTTTCTGTGCTTAAAAACACCAGATTTAGATAATAGAAAAATGTGTGTTTGTTAGCAGAAGTGCGTGTCCATTCATGCTTGTAATTGTCCACGTGTGAACATTGGCATTCAGCAAACTGCTCTGGGAGTCTCTCGCCCAGCTGCCGGTGTTTATCGAGCAGCCTCTCCTTTCTGTTCCTCCTGCCTTGATTTTTGAAGAGTAGCCAGTGCCGCGTACCCATATCTGCTCCTGAAATGGCGCTTTGTCTCAAGGATGGGGGAGACGCTCTTATCAGGCATTTCCAGGAGCTGTTACTGTACCCCCCCCCTCCTCCTCCTCCTCCCTGCTTTGCTGCTCAAATTCCCAGGCCAAAAGAGCCATACCGATGAGGGTAGAGCTGCGTTTTGCCCTTTTTGTGGTCCTTGACCTGCCTTAAGAGCTTCCATTCCCACTCCTGTCACAGCTGATTTTGTTTTTGGAAACTGGTCATGGCTATCATGCCTAATTCAAAAGCAAACATGGGCAAAGAAAAACAGACTGCTGGTGGAGCTGGTGGAGCTGGTGGGGTTTTTTCCACCAGCAGTCGTGTTCTGCTTTTACTGATTCCTCACAATTCTAGATGTTCATTGCTGCGTAGCCGTATCTGTTTCACACGGTAGTTAAATGCATGTGTGGGGTTGGAACTCATGAGACGTGTGCTTTTTTGCCCTTCAGACAAAGGTACAATACAGAAGGTGATTGTGCTACCCAGCAACCATTCCCTGCATGACGATCTGATCCTGGAGGAGCTGGAAGTGTTTAAGGTCTGCTCTCTGTATTTCTCCCTTCTCTCTTTTTTTTCCTCTTTCACTTTAATCCCCTTTCTCCCCTTAAATCAAAGGCAGGGACTGGGAGGAGGGTGTGTTTGGCCACTACACAAAGACCAAGGGCAGACAGACAAAAGGCAGGGTGGCATTTGGGAGATGGATGTTCTGTAGTGCAGAGCAGTGTAGAGTGATGAGAAACATGCTAGCATACTCCAAGTCTGGAAGTCGCCCTCAAGTGAACCTTTGCATATGTTGTTTTATCTTAGGTGATAGATCTGTGATCAGAAGAAAAAGTCTCCTTTGATCTTTCTACCAAATGGTGGAACACATAGACTTCAATCTAAAGAGATTTGTCTCTTTAGAATACATAATTTATTTCTCAGGCTACTAAAGACATCTATCCAGAGTTATTCTAGAATCTAGACTGATTTGTGCCTTTTTGCACCAGCATTGCAGTCCTTGTGATTATGTTTGCTTTGCAAGCTCTTTTTCAAGATCAAGAGGTGTCTTGAAGTATATAAAGTTAATATCATAAATATCAACATCTATAAAGTAAAGTAAATATCAGGTTATCAGGTCTTATAAAGGGATGAATTCCAATTTTAGTTTTTTTGGTTCACCCCATCATAAATATGCAGGGAAGAGGTCAGGCAAGAGGTACAACAGTTAGTCTACTTCCATTGGCAAATGAGGGTGGAGACTCTTTCATGACCGATTGTTGGTTTCTTATCTTATCATAATTGGTGGAAATATAAATGCAAAAAGTATGCATTAATAATACCATCTGGGAAGCATATGACTGGCAACAGCTTCATCTTCCAGCATGACAACAATCACAAACATACTGCCAGTACAGCAAGGATACCTGGATAGAAAAACATACAATAGAAAGCTATCAGTCATGGACTGGCCTCCCCAAAGCCCTGACTTCAGCATTATTGGTAAATGGTAAATGGCCTGCATTTGTATAGCGCTTTTCTAGTCCTTAAGGACCCCAAAGCGCTTTACACTACATTCAGTCACTCACCCATTCACACACACATTCACACACTGGTGATGGCAGCTACATTGTAGCCACAGCTGCCCTGGGGCGCACTGACAGAGGCGAGGCTGCCGGACACTGGCGCCACCGGGCCCTCTGACCACCACCAGTAGGCAAACACGGGGTTAGTATCTTGCCCAAGGATATTTGGGCAAGATACTGATATTGATATCAGTAGTGTGGGATCATCATAACACAGAATAGAAACAAAAGCAGCCAACATCCAACGAAGAGCTTTGAGGTTCCTTCAAGAAGCCTGGAGAACTATTCCTGTAGAACACTCTATAGGCAATAGCTTCATAGGGCCTGATTTATTTTGGACTGTATTTCATGAAACAAGAACTCTGAGAGCGCCCATTCTTTGCTATATAATTACCATAAAGTCTGGTATTTGTTTTCTCATCGAAGTGTTATGAATTAAAATGTATATTTTCCAGAAAGTTCTACGTTTATTTCATCAACATACAAGCTCTGAACTTTGTTTTTGTCTTTGCTGTTTTTCAGAATAAGGCTCCTGTTACAAACTTAAGAATATCCTCTAAAAAAGTAAGCATTCTGAATATGTTATGTATGCATCTGCTTATCTTAAGTGCACTTATATTGTTTAAAAACATTCACTGTCCAAGGCCACTACGTAATGCATTCAACAGTAATCTCCTGTGCGTGATAAGCCTCCCAAAGGCACAGAAATAATAAGCCCTTTTTTTTTTTTTTTTCTTGCGCCCTGCCTCATTTTCCTGTCAGCCGGCCACTTATTAAGACAAACAGGGCTGCTGACATTTGAACTGTTTACTTTGCAGCAACAGCTGTACGCCAGCTCGGAGTTCGGGGTCTCGCAGGTCTCCCTGCACCGTTGTCAGGCTTACGGCTCGGCTTGCGCTGACTGCTGCCTCGCCAGAGACCCCTACTGTGCCTGGGATGGACTGAGCTGCTCCCGCTTCTATCCCACTGGCAAAAGGTAGACAAACGTTTCCAGTTTGAGGGTTTATAGCTACAGTTTTCTGCTAGTATTAAATTTAATTGTACCCAGTGAGGATTGCTTTCTTGTATTGCATGAAAAAAAATTCTGCAAGCCTCCAAACAAATTATTCAGTGGTAATAAGCACTGATAGGTGTTGACAGGAAACCCATTCATGGAGGCAAAACTTTCACGAGTCTTAAATAAACATTAGCGACTTTTACATTTTTCACAATTAAACACTATTTTTGTTCACTTTGATTATACTTAACATTTTGCAATTTGCAGGATTATTACAGTGAGGTTTACAGTAGCCAATGAAGTTACAGCAAATATCAAACCAATTGACTTTCCAAAGCATGGGAAGCAACTGATGTGCTATACGTTAAACTGGAATAGAAAGTTTTGCTCAAAATTTGTGAAGGCCAAAAGATCACATGACTGCAATCCATCAGCGCACACTTCTGTGTAAACCAGATTCCACTTTTGTAGTTTCCCTTCCGGCGTCTAGACATAACACAGACGAGGAGGTATGAGCGACACCTCGCCTCTGCTCCGGTGTCTCTCTGGTTCCTTTAAGGACCAGCTGCCTGTCTCCTGACAGTTCAGTCAGACGCAGGCCAAATTTAGTTTGGTCGTAGAACAAAAACTACAAAAACATTTCAGAGACCTTCTCTGTTTTTCTGCAGAGAATGTCTCTGAAATGTGTCAGCTGTTTACTTGCTTTTTTCCTCAAGCTGTTATATATGAGTGTTCTCCACCGAGTGGAAGAACATGGTCAGATTTTCCTCATATTGTTTTGGCAGCGACTGCTTCTTCCACCATTTCAATATGACAGACGGACGGTTGTTATGATTGTGTATTTTATTTTGTAAGCCATCGACCGAGTTTTTTTTTCCCTCCTTCTTTCAGGAGAAGCAGAAGGCAGGATATTATGCATGGAAATCCACTCACTCAGTGTAGAGGATTCAATTTAAAAGGTAATTAAAGCTCCGGAAATATCCTTTTAAAGGTAACAATGGCTCAAGGCATCATGATTAATGTGAAAGATTCAAAACAGAGCTAAAAGTGGTTTAGTTATTAGACTAATATTTGTATAGGTGGCCAGAAACATGACTCTTCATGAATGCTAATGCTGTTTTGATAAACTGGATTTGTAAGTTTTCTTCCCTAATGTAAGTTCATTTGAGGTTTACACACAGCCTGTGCCTGCAGATATTTCTGTGTGTGTTCTGCTAGCATTTAGGCCTATTTTTGAGTCCGTACTCCAGACTTCATTCTTCATGAATATATATCCAGTCCACTAGCAGGTGCGGTTTAATGAGAGGAGAGAATCGGCTCCCCAGAGTGTTCAATTTCCATGAACAGTTTACTTTACTAAATTAACACGAGCGTGGGGAACCAGCCATATGGCCATTACCGCTAATTAGTCGCAACCCTGTCATACACCCGACTGAGTGATGAACCGTTTAGATAGAAGAAAAATGACACAGTTAATAAGTGAATTGGTTTGATACGTCAAAGTGTATATTGTTTGTGGAAAATGAAGTCTGGGGTGGGGTTCGGTTGTGCCGCAGGTGTCAGACTAAGCTTTGAGTCAACATCTCGCTCTCACTGTTGAGGCTTGAGACAGATTTGAGTCCATCTGTGCTCTTTGTGTCTGTCAGCAAATGACGTATGAATTGCCTTTCTTGACCCTGTGCATGTGTCTGCCTGTGTCTGCGTGTGTGTCTTTGTGTCTGTTAGCCTACAGGAACGCAGTGGAGATGACACAGTACGGCGTAAAAAACAACACCACTTTTCTGGAGTGTCTTCCCAAGTCTCCTCAGGCGTCTATTCGCTGGCTGATTCAGCGAGACAATGACAGAAGGAAAGAGGTCTGTTTGACATTTAAAGCACTTTAATGCATTCATAATTCCATTAACATTGACCTCCAAGAGGTCAATGTTACGGCCCACTTTAGCTGCAGAATTTAACAAGATAAACCCTTCACAATGCAAGCGGTTTGATTAGATGTCCCATTGTCAGCCCGTAGGGGGTTGCTCCAGTGTTTGGTTAAATATTACAACAAAGATTAAACATGTCGTAACAATCCAGTGAGCTCATATGAGTTATCAGGATGTGCACTGCCTGAGGAATGACACTCTTAATGCTTATTGGCAGGGGAGCATCGTAATAAGTGTTGATACAGATCAAACATGATATGGGCTTTTACTAATGGCTCGATACACTCAATGCTCAGTGGGGAAACATTTTGTAAATGTTTGACGGCACTTAAATAGAGGGAGCATTTTAAAAGGCAGCGAAAGTTTAAACAAAGCTGGGCATGATGAAAACACATCTTTTATGCATTTAGCTCTCACCTCTGTCGAGCAGGGTTGCATGGGGGGGGGGTCTTAAAATAAATCACTTCAGTTTTATGATGTGTAATCACTGGAGCCTTTTCTAAACTGAGGCCAGACTGATTTGGAAGTAGTATGCTGTATGCAGTAGTAGACTGTCCTAAGCTGTAGGACGAGTCTCATGAAGCTTCAAGCTCTTCAAGCACATAGATCTAAAATGCCTGTTATTGCAGTGACTCCCTGGCAACCACCTAGTCCCTAGGGGAAAATGTGTGTTCCCTAATTGGTTGGCAAGTGGTTGGTGTAGGTTGCTGCCTGTCACTTGGTGAAATCGATTGCAAGGAGAGCACTGCCCCAAAAACTCCCTTATTAGTGCATTGATCGCACAGATTGCCACAGTGGCTTGTAGTTTGCATGGAAGGCCTCGTCTGCAAACACTTGCTAACTAGCCTCTGAGTTACAGTGAAACTTCTAACAATGCGAACCACATCTGAATCAGAGAATGTCCGCCTTCAAATTAAAGGTTGTTCCTTACTGCTGTAACAACACCTTTTTAAATGGAGCAACTTTTGCTATGAAGACAAATAGTCTCTGTTTCCACTTTAAGTCACACTCTTCACAGTTTTGTTACTGCTTAAGCAAGTAGTTGGCAGGGGTTTACAGACAAGTAAGAAGCATTCTATATAAAGTACAGGCAATGACATCAATATCCTGGTGACCAAAGCATTTGCAATGAAGTTTAAGTCTTTAACTTTAACTTTCAGGTGGCCAAACCAACACTTAAACTTCCCACAGCTCTTAGGTTTAAATTAACATTTCAGGCATACTTTTAGTCATTATTGACTATAATTTTGAGCAGTAAACACATATAAAATTTGGGGTACTTAAATTTTTTTTATGAAAAAAATATGCATTCACATGTCTGTGAAGGTTCTCAGTCATCCAGGTCATCGTAGTCAAAGGAGCTTGCAAAGAAAAGCGTCTGGACTTCTTTAAGTTACTTGAAGACGTTTCA